TTGTCAAATTTGTTGCACATTGGTGTTCTAAACATCTTCGCTTTGTTTAAAAATGACGTCAACGCGACATTTTAGGATTTTCTAGAATTTTGGAAAATTTGTTCCAGGAATGTCAGATGCAGAACGCGAGGCAACTCGCAACCTCGTGTACACCTTCCATCTGTCACGTGACGGTGAGGAATGGTACATGAAGGTGGTCACTGAAACTGGCGTCGTGTTTGTTGACATCAAGTTCAAGATGGACGTGCCCTTCTCCTATCTCAGTCTCGACAAGACCACCAAACTGACGGTGGGTTGTATGCTAATGTATCTTGTTATAGCAAGCAAGAGGTTTGTAGTGTTACGGACCTTAGGCTGTCGTCACATGATGGTATTTCCGTTTCGTCCTTATCATGATATTGTGTCAGGATTGTCTCGGACGATGATCAAGTGTAAAGGAATTTAAGAGCCTTTAACTTGATAAGTCTTCGAACGTTTTCATATGACAACTGTAGTGAGTGGGTTTGGTTTTACGCCGCACTCAGCAATATTCCAGCTATATGGCGGCGGTCTGTAAATAATCAAGTCTGGACTAGACAAGCCAGTGATCTACATCATGAGCATCGATTTGCGCAATTGAGATACGATGACATACATGTGTCAACCAAGTCAGCGAGCCTGACCACCTGATCACGTTAGTCGCCTCAAGATTACGGCAAGCATGGGTTACTGAAGATCAATCTAACTCGGAGTTATGACGACTGTATGGGAGTTTTATTTTGAGTACGTTTGATTAACGACGGCCTAGCCTGTTGCATCTTACTGTTGTTTCCGGGGGCGGTGGCGCCTGGTTGCGATCAATCAATCAATCAATCAATCAATCTTTATTCTCTTTTAACCACCCACGGTGGTACAAGAGCATAGGATATATAGTATACATAAATTTAATTGCATTGTTGGAAGGTCGTTGCATAATTTACAGTTTTTGCGTAGCTTTAACACGGTTATTGATAATAGATATAAACTTTGATAAACACCTGAGTTCGATTCTCCACATGAGTACAATGTGTGAAGCCTATTTCTATTTCCGGGTTATTGCTAAAAACGGCTTGAAACAATACTCGCTGTTGTTCAAGACTCAGAGTGATGTAGTTGACACAGGCACCATATACCTGTGTATGGTCTTTGGTTTAGGATTACAAATTTTCAGTCTCCCAGTAGAACATGAACTTGTGAATGGTTAAAGAAATGGGCTTCACACAATGAACTTGTGAATGGTTAAATAGTAACCCAAACAAACCGCTATGAAATAATGTATTTCGCCCTGGCCTGTTTTTCACCAGAAACAGCTGTTTGCATATCACATCAATTTGATAATACAAGCTCGCTTCATTTTTCAGCCCATTGTAATGCCCCATGACTGTTCATGTCCAAATTATTGTAATGTCGATATGAAATAATTTCATAGCACCTTGGACTTAAATGCAATTATGTACCACAAATTGTCAATGATAATCATTAAAATATTATGACATTATTAATTATCTACTGAAGTATAAACTGAATAAATTCCATTAATATAAATGATCCTCATTTTGAAATATGGCAACAAAAAAGGTTTAGTGAAACCCAAATGAGATTTTCTAATGTATACATGATCATTCGTCAAGCAAATTGGATGCAGTCACTGGAAGTGTGTGTTTTGTGGGAATATATTTTGAATAGTGCCAGAGTGATGTCGGCATAATGTATTTTTATTGAACTATAAAACAGTTACTGTTGGAGTTGAACATCTGACCGTATATTAACTACTCTTCAAAAGTGCGTTTTAAATGGTGTTAGATGTCTCCAGTATACAAATTTGATCAATATACATAAAACTAGTGATTTCACATGGTGGAAAGAGCTGTCAGATAATTGGGTTTAGCAAAAGCATTTTCGCGACTCCCCATCAAATAACGCACACTTAAAACTGGCAATATGCAATTTATTTTTCCCGAAAACTTTGGCGACAACGCACCAACAGGGATACATTTTTCCGTGATTTTTTTTGTTGTCAGAGGCAACATGTCATGCACGCGCAAGGCATCCCAGTAGAACTGTATAGAAATCGCAAAACAGTCTGACCAAGAACACCATGGGTCGTGGAAGAAGTTTAAGCTAAGACCAACGTCACCACGGAATTGCTTTACTTCAGGATGGCAGATCACAGCGATACGTGGCCAGACGACTTGGGGTTTCACAGAAAGCCATTTCAAACCTGTGGATCCGTTATCAACAAACGAAATCCGTGAGGGATAGGCCCTGATCCGGTATCCCCAAAGTTATAACAAGACGGGACGATCGGTACCCCGCCGGGGTGGAAATAACCCATTGCCCGACGTCCGTGTCCAGTGTTGTTGTCTGTCGGGCAATCTAATTTGTATATCACGTTGTACCGGTGTCCAGTTGACTTTCCAATGTTAATTATATTGTTTATTTAAAAGATCAACAAGAAAATCAGCCGGTATAGTGGAAAATTTACCAGGCCAAGTGATTTTACATGTGCCACTGTACCAGAGTACACTAGCAATGTTAAAGTTATTTCCACCCTGGACCCCCCGTTTAACAGCTCTCCGGGAAAGGCACGCGACAGCTAGAGTTCCCCGAGACAGACTACACAGTGTAGTAGGGACCCGTGTTTCACTGTCCACTGTACGACGTCGCCTACTGTCACACGGCATCAGATCACGACGTCCTGCCGTCAGACCTCCTCTCAAGCCTAAACATAGACAGAACCGTTTGGCTTTTGCAAATGAACACATCGGCTGGGGTGATCGCAGATGGTCCAAAGTTCTCTTCAGCGATTCAACTTGCATTTTAATGATGGCCGTAATCCTGTCTACCGACGACAAGGTGAAAAGTTTAATACATTGCCTTCGTGGAGCATGACCGATTCGGAGGTGGTTCCGTAATGGTCTGTGGTGGGATCTCCATGCGTTCTGAGATCGATCTCGTCGTTGTACTAGATAGTTTAACTGGTCAGAAATACAGAGACAACATCATTATTCCAGTTGTCGTTCCGTTCATGAGGGCCATGAGTGGGCGTCCTGAGTTTCGAAATGATAACCCACGTCCACATCGAGCCAGAATTGTGAATGAATGCTTGCAACGTTATCGGATCAACCGTATGGAATGGCCAGTACTGTCTCCAGGCCTGAATCCTATCGAGCATGTTTGGGACATGTTGGGACGTCGAGTGTATGGACGTGTGTCGCGACCTGCCACCCTGAGTGACCTTGAGACCGCATTGTTTCAAAAAATGGCAGAACATTTTCCAGCGTGACATTCGGAAGCTGAGACGTTGTAGGCGTGTATCGTGGCTAGGGGTGTCCATACTCCTTGTTAGTGAGAACTGGATGTGACGTTTTTGATAGTCTCCACTTCAGTGCAATAACTCGTGGATTGAAAGAAAATTCATCTGTTTTTCGTCATTAAAATTATTAAATGGACACATTTTCCCGTTTTTTTTGTCACATGTCCTCTATTCTAACATTGCAAATGTTGATCTCTGTAGTTTCCTGAACACTGAGTCTAAACTTTTGAGTGAGTGAGTGAGTGAGTTAAGATTTAAGTCACATCGGCAATATTTCAGCCATATCGTGACTGAAACTAGTTCTAAATTCATAATACATACATATAATATATACAACCCTGTCAACGAAGGACAGTAAAACCACTAGATTATCACAGATTGAGTTAAAACAAGCTAGCATATATCTTTAAAAGTAGAACATTATTTCTGGACAATACAATGTAAAACTGGGCTAAAGATTCTAAACTTTTGAAGAGAAGTATATATAAGTAATACGTCACCTGTATATCTGCTTAAAGTGCATTCAAATTAATGTTTCAGAGCCTCATCACTCTGCAAAACGAGCACTTTCTCGAGAAGATGACTTCAGAGAAGAACGGGGTCGTCATGCACTGGGACGTGGACACCTACAGAGATGGGGACTTCGTTATTACCGTAAGTCAGTTCGACCGATCAGCCTTCGTTAGTGCACTGCATTCCTCCCTCCCTCGTGTTTGGGTTGTTGTCACTATTTTAAACCAGCCAATCAGGACACCACCTGGTTGCTGCACGTCGGAAACTGTCGAGTGTTCTGACCAATGAGCTTTTCAGAAAGCAGCAAAAAAGTAATATTTCTCATACAACGTGTATCGTTGTCTAACAGGCATGTACTCGACATATTGCTTCACCACTCGACAACGGCGATATGCATGCACGAAGTAGGGATCTTTGGTCTCCATTCGATCACCAGCCTGATTTCATTGTTGGTCTTAAATAGACACATCAATACTGCACCGCCCCCTATCGGTAGTGTTGATGAAGGATCTAGCGCCTACAACCCACGAGGTACAGACGGTGACGTCCATGTTGTTGGACATACAGCTGTACTGACATACAGACGTACCTGGTTGAGTTATCATAATACAATTCCTATTTTTTTATTATGTATGTTATGTCTACAAACATTATTATTTAAATTCTCGCACCCTGACAACCCACAAGGAACACCCTCCATATTCGTGTCTCTCTGAGCCCAAGGCGTGTCCATTTCTGAAAAGCCTTCCGAAACCTTCCTGGATACCTTTCCATTGTTGCTGACGTTTCTGTTCACAGGCTCAGACCAAGGATGGTGCAACGGAGATACAGAAACTGAAGAAAGTCTAAATTTAGTTCAGTCTTGGGCCCGCTTCTTAAGTGACTTACGACATCTTCACATGCGTCACACATTTCAGTTCTATTATGCCTGTAGCGACGTAGACACGGCATATATCATTTCTTGTGTAGCTGGTTGAAGGACCTTGAGCATTCCTTGAGTCAGTCCTACAGTCAGTCCTACAGCCGGTCCTACAGTCAGTCCTACAGTCGGTCCTACTGTCGGTCCTACAGTCGGTCCTACAGTCAGTCCTACAGTCGGTCCTACTGTCAGTCCTACAGTCAGTCCTACAGTCAGTCCTACAGACACAAATGCTTGGCTGGATAGTTTGCCATGACATGAGCCCCAACACCTTCCCCATCTTTGATTCTGCTACTGATGCTTATATAACTGTCCTTTACTACTACTACTGCTGTTGTTGTTGCTGCTGCTGTAACCGTTATTACTGATACTGATACTACTACAACTAAACAAAACGTGATACTCCCTCACTGAACTGCTGCCACCACCACCACCACTACTACTACTACTACTACTACTAGCGGCGGTGGGGTAGCCTAATGGTTAAAGCGTTCACTCGTCACGCCGAAGACCCGGGTTCGAGTCTCCACATGGGTATAATGTGTGAAGCCCATTTCTGGTGTCCCCACCGTGATATTGCTGGAATATTGCTAAAAGCGGCTCACTCACTCACTACTACTACCGCCATCACCAATTCATCGCACTGGACTACTACTGTGAGTAGCGAAAGGCGAACTCCCTCACTACTACTAGCGCTGCTGCTGCTACTACTACTACTACTTCTTCTACTACTACTACTACTACTACTACTACTACTACTCCTACTACTGTTACTACTACTACTACTACTACATCCGCTGTGATAGCGCTGGAATACTAATCTAAGTGACATACAAGTAGCGCTGCTGCTGCTTTTACTACTACTGTTGCTGCTGCTACTACTTCTACTACTACTGCTGTTACTGCTACTGTTGCTGCTGCTACTGCTGCCAATGAGCAATCGAGCAGATGTCTACAACTACAGATGTTATTTTCTTACTGTATATTGTATATCATATATCGAGTTGAACTCATTAAACTGTTCATGAACTATTTGTTTTCTCTCACTTCTCGGACTATGTCCATCCATGTTTCAGATTGGTAATATAATAAAGAAATGAGTATTGCTGTGTCCCGCTCTCAGCATTTTCCAACTCTGCGAATGTTTCTGATGCGACGTAAAACAATATTCACTCACTAGCATATTCCAGCAATAGAACTACGAGAGATACAGACATAGGGTGCACTCATACTTAAAGCACAAGGCTGCCCCTACAACATACAGGTCAAGGACGGTCATTACTCCAAGAATGGCCAAAGATGTAGCGGTGGTGAGGTAGTCTAGTTCTTAAAGTGTTTGCAGGGCGGTGGGGTAGCATCGTGGTTAAAGCGTCCGCTCGTCACGCCGAAGACCCGGGTTCAATTTCCCCATGGGTTACAATGTGTGAAGCCCATTTCTGGTGTCCCCGCTGTGATTTTGATGGAATATTGCTTAAAGCGGCTTAAAAGCATATTTACTCACTCACTCACTTACTCACTTAAAGTGTTTGCTCGTCATGCCGAAGATCCGGGTTAGATTCTCAACATGAGAGTCATGAAATTGTTGGAATTTGCCAAAAGCGGCGAAAAAGATACTCACGCCCTCATAAATCAATATTAATCAATCCATCAATCTAGCGATAGTTCATATGGCCTGGGTTGTATGTCATTGTAGTACACTTCCTTGACCAGTTGATGTGATGGCAGACACGGCCAAGGGAGATAACCAATTAAGGTTATAAGTGTCATATACAGTAATTAATTGCCTGACAAGTCAATGTTCAATGCGGAAGTGATAAGGATTAGATAGAATACAGATTAGATAAGTACAATAAAGTGAGTGAGTGAGTGAGTTAGAATTTAACGTCACATCGGCAATATTTCAGCCATATCCTGACGAGAAATGTTTTACATAAACAATAAATTAAAGTTGCTAAATAATCAGTCATCGAAGGACTGTAAAATAACTTGAGTATCACAGATGGAGTCTAAAACTAGCATGAACATGTAAAACTATTTTATTTACGAAGACAATACAATATAAAAACGGGCTATAGATGGCCAACAACTGAAGGTAGATCACCATTAGGGGTGTCACGATACACCAATCTCACGATACGATACGTATCACGATTTTAAGGTCACGATACGATACGTATCGCGATACATAATTTTCGCGCCTTTTCATAGCATTACCTTACCGGCAACGTAGGCGCTCGCTGATTGGTCCATCAAAATAGTCTAGCCAATCACAAAAGCTGTTAGTTTCCAACCTATTTTTTAAGTAAAGCTAGCTACATCTATTTATCGGAGCCGTCTCGTATAATTTTACTATCAAGACTTCGAAGGAGATGGATATAGCATAAAAATTTGAATCGATAAAGTTTTAAAATAGGAATCGATACACGTAAGCATGTATCGCGTATCGTATCGTCAGTAAAAATGTATCGATGCATCGATACATTCGCGTATCGCGACACCCCTAATCACCATACTAGGACAGTACAATAAAGTCTCACATGTCTTGACTACATAGTTTTACTTTTTTAAATATTTGAACGATGGCTGTCGTGAATTAGTCCCTATAACAATATGATGTATTAACTATTTTAAAATTGAAAATTGCGGTGGTGCTTAACTTTTGTTGTATTGTTTGTATATTATATCAGTAATAAGTTTATTTCATACATGATAGCACATACAGCCATACACAACGTACACCCCTTCAAACACCATACACATGATAAATACGACCACACATACACACATACACACATCCATCAATACATGCACATGCATGTATGCATACACACACATATACATACACACATATATACACTCCAAAAAGAAACGCATAAAGGAATTTCAACTGTATTTTTATTTTGAAACATCTTGTAGGCTTTATGAGTCAATGAAATATAGCGAAATTGCACACTGGGAATGCAGACTTATCCGTCTTTGGCACCAACTCGAGGAAAGTCAGTTTGAGTGTCATATGGAGACGTGTGGTGGCGCTGAAGTCAATACCTCGTGTGACCACCGTGGGCATCCAGAACTGCACGGCATCGTCTCGGCATCGAACGAATAAGTCTCAGAATCTCGTGTTGCCCAATCGCAGCCCACTCTGCCTGTAGTGCCTGTGCGAGTTGCTGAAGTGTCTGGGGCCGAGGGTTACGGCGTCTTACCCGTCTGTCCAGGGCATCCCACAGATGTTCGATCGGGTTTAAGTCCGGTGATCTTGAGGGGCCAGGGGAGCACATTGATGTTGTGGTTCTGGAGGAAGTCTCTAGTGTGACGTGCTGTGTGGGGCCTGGCATTGTCCTGTTGAAACAACTCCCTCTGGCGATCAATGATTTGAAGGAGGTGTGGGCGTAGGATTTCGTCACAGTACCGTTGAGCTGTCAGGTTGCCCTGGATCATCACCAAATCACTTCTCCTACGGCGGGTGATCGCTCCCCACATCATAACACTGACCTGGCCGAATCTGTCCACCTGGGGAACGCAAGCGTCGGCGAAACGTTCACGTCGACGTCTGTACACCCGCATTCTTCCATCCCGTCGTTCCAATAGAAATCGTGATTCATCACTGAACCAGATTTTACGCCAATTCGGTAGGTTCCAGGACTGAATGCTGGTGCACCATTGAACTTGATGTCGACGATGTTGTTGTCGAAGCACTGGGCCAAAATAAGGTCTTTTGGCACGTAAACCAGCCTCTCTCAACCTGTTCCTGATGGTCTGTGCAGAAAGCGTCCTCAATCCGGGTATTTGTCAAGCGGTACTGGTCGCCGTAGCTGTTCGATGACGCAGATGATGTACCCGGATGTAGCGATCCTGCGCCGCAGTGGACGCTCGAGGTCGCCCACTACGAGGGGCAGCTGCTACCGCATTCTGCCGGCGATATCTCTCCCAGATCCGTGAAATGGTGCTTTGGTGAACATTCATGCGTCGGGCAACTGCACGCGTGCGTGCGTGCGTGCGTGTGTGCGTGTGTGCGTGTGTGCGTGCGTGTGTGCGTGTGTGTGCTCCCAAAACATGTCATGTGGCAATAAATAAAAACTTGATTCATTTTACAAAAGCTTTTGCTCTCTTTGTGAGTCCTATGGTGTTTATGTTTTCAAACCACCGTGAAAGATCCGTATTTAAAAGCATGATTTTCAATTTCTGCGTGTAGTGTCACAGAATACACAATTCACATGCAATGCTCGTGAAAGTTGGGGATCAGATAGTCTCAATGGTGGGTATAAAAGGTTGATCGCTGTCTGTCGATTAGTCACTGTATTTGGAATATTGTTGACGAACGCAAAATGCCGCGTCTAAGTGAAGCCAACCGTCATATCTCACAAAGAGAGCAAAACCTTTTTGTAAAATGAATCACGTTTTTATTTATTGCTACATGACATTTTTGGGAGCACGCACGCACGCACGCACGAACGCACGCACGCACGCACGCACACACGCACGCACACACACACACACACACGTTTTCTAACGTGATGACACTGTAAAAATAGAATGCATTTAAAACGTCGTACATACAAACACGTGAATGGTCTCTACTTAGTTGTAATGTTAGTCACATGCAATATCACACCACAAAACGGCGAGCAAACAATGTTTTGAAGGCGTCAAATGCGCGCATACATCATTCACTCACTCATACAAACACGCACGCACGAACGCGGTCACACGCGCGCGCGCGCACCACACACACACACACACACACACACACAATCAAACAAATGCTTACATACTCTCTGAGGTCAATACTAGTTGTCCTAATGCTGTTGATGAGATATTTGTTTTTTGTCTGACTGTGACAAGTTGTGGGGTCGTGTGCAGAAGGTGATCGGAAAAAGTCATAGAAAAAGTCATAGGAAAAATGTCATGGGAAAGAATAGTTGTCAGAAAAATAACTATTATAAAATATCCTTTTCTCCAGTTTTTACTTTGTTTATACTGTTATTTTCTTAATACTATTTCAGTTCATCGTCAGAAATATAAACATCCTGTTTATACTGTATTTTATAAATACTATTTTACTTTCATCAGAGAAAACTAATTCAACAAGAAAAAGTTATAAAACGCCCTGTTCTGCATTTACTTTGTATATCCTGTTTCACTTTCAAGTTAATTATTCACACACTGTAAGCAACTGGATTTTATCAAAACAGGAGAAATGAATATTTTAGTACTTATTTAGTTCTTAAAGGATTATGGGATTGATGTAGTGCTGTTGCTGATGATAGTGTTGTGATCTGTTCATTCTATGATGTCAAATATTATAATGGAATAATTACATTAATTGTATAAGATAGGTTCAAATGTGGTTCAGAGAAATTTATGTAGTGCTGTTGATGATAATATTGTTCTAACTTGTTGAATAAATATATTACCAATATTGACTTTTTGAGTTTATGACTCTTTTTCCTATGACTTTTTCCTATGACATGTTTTCCCTCAACCGTGGAGACACGTATTAGACTGGTTCCCGCAGCCGACAGAAGCAAGAGCAGAGACACCAAGCGGTGTCTCCGGGCAACAGTCAGAGGCCGTGTTGTCACGCGAGGCTTTGTGTTGTGCCCTTCTGTGGAGCTCTTAGTCCTATACGTTACCGGGCGAAAACCGAAAGTGAAGCGTTGGTCGATTTTTTCACACACTTGTCAGTGTCTTTTCTCTTCTACGTATTTTAATATGTAAATGTAAAACGCGATGACCGTGAGCTGTTAGACACGAGGACAGTTTGGTCCCTCCTTTTAAAGTGTAAATCAAGTAGATTCTAAATAAATGAATGAATTCTGTGTCCACCTGTGTTCATCCAATGCCCAACTCAACCCAGCCCTGCAGGAACCGGGTGTGACACGCAGCAGGTGGGTCTTGGCACTGTGTCACGTATACGTACGTGTTTCTACTATGTGACACGTGACAGTGCCGTATACTATCCACAACACAACACTGTATCCGTGTCACGAGGGCGGTGGGTAGCCTAGTGGTTAAAGCGTTCGCTGGGTCAACGCCGAAGACCCGGGTTCGATTCCCCACATGGGTACAATGTGTGAAGCCCATTGCTAAAAGCGGCGTAAAACCATACTCACTCACTCCGTGTCCTTGCACGATGTTTCAGATTGTTGACTACACACGAGTGTTCGTGCCGGGTCGCTGTTTACAAAGCAATCAATCTAAAACAAATCGTCCTCTGTTTCATATACCGTATTTCCTCTGTTGAACTCCAGTACACATTGGTCTGTATGACAGGCGAATTTCAGCAGTGTACAGTAGTAGGTCTATATGAATAGACAACACGATATTCCCTCCCCCCGATGTGTTAACTTTATCTACCGCCCCGACATCGTTCATAATTTATGGCTTTTACCATGACCATGACCCGGAAGCGAAATAGGAGAATATAGTGCCTTGTTTAAATGGGCTGTTCTGTCTGTGCTAATTTTTTTTCAGGGTGATTTGTGGTAGCTTAAATGGAAGGTGAGGCATTGTACTTTATTGCAATAATGTTTTGGTCCACAATCTGCACATGGTATTGACACCAGCCTTCCACGATTTGACCCCAAGTTCAAGGTTGTTTAGTGTGTTTCGGGCTCAAAGAAACCTCCGGTGGCCATTGTTTACAGTGGATACAACAAAATTGAGGTGGTCGACCCAGGCCGATATTTTGCTGGTTAAGTGACAAGTGGCAGGTTGGTCAGCATGCAACAGGAAAACAGCCTACGATCGATATTTATTATGGTGGACTGGCATGTAACTGTACATAGCCAACAAGGAAAATAATTGTGGTTTGAGGCCAGGGGTGTCACTTACTTTGTATAGAAATTTGAGGGACGGGGGTGCATTCACATTGTACAGTCATGCTTCTCCATAACACACACACACACACACACACACACACACACACACACACACACACACACACACACACACACACACACACACACACACACACACACACACACACACACACACACACACACACACACACACACACATTATGAACGGTCCCTAAATGTTTTAATATATGTGTATGACGATATCCGAACAGATTACGCGGCTTTCACAGGAACAGTTCAGGATGGCGAACATGGTCGGAGACTGGAAACTTGTGCCGGAGTTGACCACTGGCCATGATGAGTTTGCTAAAGCAATGGGTAGGTACCCTCTATTCTCTTGAACTGTGATCCCTTTTTACAACGTTATCAGAACACGTCCAAAGTCGCCAAAACATCGATACCCTGGCCCCATGGGTACAATGTGTAAAGCGGCGTAAAACAAAACTCACTCACTACTCATTTTACAATTTCAAATACATGAAAACGTGTCTTAGGTTTTCGAAATATGTTTTATGAGAGGTCTGAGGGTGATATACCATGACTGCCGGACGTGATAAAACATTGCAAATAAGTGAGTTAACTTTACGCCGTTTTAGCGTTTGGGGAATGGAACCAGGTCTTCGGCTGAGTGAGTGAGTGAGTTCAGTTTTACACCGTTTTAGCAACAGTGCAGTTATATCACGGCGGGGGACACCAGAAATGTCACTAATTGTTCCCATGTGTGGACTCGAACCCGGGTCTTCGCCTTAACAAGCGAACGCTTTAACCACTAGGCTACCCCAAAACATTACAAACGTTATCTGAACGTTACAAGGATGAGTGAGTGAGTTTAGGGTTATAGTCGCATCGGCAGTATTTCACCTTGAGTGCGTCCAAAGGTTAGGGAGGATTGCTCCTCAGGGAAAATCTTTTCGGGGAGGTGTGTGCGTGCGTGCGTGCGTGCGTGTGTGTGTGATCATGACATGAACTTCAATCGTTAATGTAGACCGTGAATGTAACCGACATTGATATATACACATTGATAAGGCGACATTTTTACCAATCGTGTACTGACCCGTTCTGATGTTTACGTCTCCACATTGTTCCAGGTCAAAATATATCACATTGTTGGATTGTATTTCTTCACAAGAATTGTGTTTAAAATGCGACAGAAATACAATTGTCAAATTTGTTGCACATTGGTGTTCTAAAAATCTTCGCTTTGTTTAAAAATGACGTCAACGCGACATTTTAGGATTTTCTAGAATTTTGGAAAATTTGTTCCAGGAATGTCAGATGCAGAACGCGAGGCAACTCGCAACCTCGTGTACACCTTCCATCTGTCACGTGACGGTGAGGAATGGTACATGAAGGTGGTCACTGAAACTGGCGTCGTGTTTGGTGACATCAAGTTCAAGATGGACGTGCCCTTCTCCTATCTCAGTCCCGACAAGACCACCAAACTGACGGTGGGTTGTATGCTAATGTATCTTGTTATAGCGAGCAAGAGGTTTGTAGTGTTACGGACCTTAGGCTGTCGTCACATGATGGTATTTCCGTTTCGTCCTTATCATGATATTGTGTCAGGATTGTCTCGGACGATGATCAAGTGTAAAGGAATTTAAGACAACTGTAGTGAGTGAGTTTGGTTTAATGCCGCACTCCGCAATATTCCAGCTATATGGCGGCGGTCTGTAAATAATCAAGTCTGGACTAGACAAGCCAGTGATCAACATCATGAGCATCGATCTGCGCAATTGAGATACAATTGATGTGTCAACCAAGTCAGCGAGCCTGACCACCTGATCCCGTTAGTCGCCTCAAGATTACGGCAAGCATGGGTTACTGAAGATCAATCTAATTTTTCCGTGATTTTTTTTTTTGTCAGAGGCAACATGTCATGCACGCGCAAGGCATCCCAGTATAACTGTATAGAAATCGCGATCGGTAGCCACAAAACAGTCTGACCAATAACACCATGGGTCGCGGAAGAAGTTTAAGCTAAGAACGTCACCACGGAATTGCTTTACTTCAGGATGGCAGATCACAGCGATACGTGGCCAGACGACTTGGGGTTTCACAGAAAGCTATAGTTTCCTAAACACTGAGTCTACACTTTTGAAGAGAAGTATATATCAGTAATACATCACCTGTATATCTGCTTAAAGTGCATTCAGATTAATGTTTCAGAACCTCATCACTCTACAAAACGAGCACTTTCTCGAGAAGATAACTTCAGAGAAGAACGGGGTCGTCATGCACTAGGACGAGGACACCTACAGAGATGGGGACTTCGTTATTATCGTAAGTCAGTTCGACCGATCAACCTTCGTTAGTACACTGCATTCCTCCCTCCCAAGTGTTTATGTTGTTGTCACTATTATAAACCAGCCAATCAGGACACCACCTGGTTGCTGCACGTCGGAAACTGTCGAGTGTTCTGACCAATGAGCTTTTCAGAAAGCAGCAAAAAAGTAATATTTCTCATACAACGTGTATCGTTGTCTAACAGGCATGTACTCGACATATTGCTTCACCACTCGACAACGGCGATATGCATGCACGAAGTAGGGATCTTTGGTCTCCATTCGATCACCAGCCTGATTTCATTGTTGGTCTTAAATAGACACATCAATACTGCACCGCCCCCTATCGGTAGTGTTGATGAAGGATCTAGCGCCTACAAACCCACGAGGTACAGACGGTGACGTCCATGTTGTTGGACATACAGCTGTACTGACATACAGACGTACCTGGTTGAGTTATCATAATACAATTCATGTTTTTGATTATGTATGTTATGTCTACAAACATTATTATTTAAATTCTCACACCCTGACAACCCACAAGGAACGCCCTCCATATTCGTGGCTCTCTGAGCCCAAGGCGTTTCCATTTCTGAAAAGCCTTCCGAAACCTTCCTGGATACATTTTCATTGTTGCTGATGTTTCTGTTCACAGGCTCCAGACCAAGGATGGTGCAACGGAGATACAGAAACTGAAGAAAGTCTAAATTTAGTTCAGTCTTGGGCCCGCTTCTTAAGTGACTTACGACATCTTCACATGCGTCACACATTTCAGTTCTATTATGCCTGTAGCGACGTAGACACGGCATATATCATTTCTTGTGTAGCTGGTTGAAGGACCTTGAGCATTCCTTGAGTCAGTCCTACAGTCAGTCCTACAGTCAGTCCTACAGACACAAATGCTTGGCTGGATAGTTTGCCATGACATGAGCCCCAACACCTTCCCCATCTTTGATTCTGCTACTGATGCTTATATAACTGTCCTTTACTACTACTACTGCTGTTGTTGTTGCTGCTGCTGTAACCGTTATTACTGATACTGATACTACTACAACTAAACAAAACGTGATACTCCCCTCACTGAACTGCTGCCACCACCACCACCACTACTACTACTACTACTACTACTACTACTACTACTACTACTACCACCACCACTACTACTACTACTACTACTACTAGCGGCGGTGGGGTAGCCTAATGGTTAAAGCGTTCACTCGTCACGCCGAAGACCCGGGTTCGAGTCTCCACATGGGTATAATGTGTGAAGCCCATTTCTGGTGTCCCCACCGTGATATTGCTGGAATATTGCTAAAAGCGGCTCACTCACTCACTCACCCACTCACTACTACTACTACCGCCATCACCAATTCATCGCACTGGACTACTACTGTGAGTAGTGAAAGGCGAACTCCCTCACTACTACTAGCGCTGCTGCTGCTGCTACTACTACTACTGTTACTACTACTACTACTACATCCGCTGTGATAGCGCTGGAATACTAATCTAAGTGACATACAAGTAGCACTGCTGCTGCTTTTACTACTACTGTTGCTGCTGCTACTACTTCTACTACCACTGCTGTTACTGCTACTGTTGCTGCTGCTACTGCTGCCAATGAGCAATCGAGCAGATGTCTACAACTACAGATGTTATTTTCTTATTGTATATTGTATATCATATATCGAGTGGAACTCATTAAACTGTTCATCAACTATTTGTTTTCTCTCACTTCTCGGACTATGTCCATCCATGTTTCAGATTGGTAATATAATAAAGAAATGAGTATTGCTGTGTCCCGCTCTCAGCATATTCCAACTCTGCGAATGTTTCTGATGCGACGTTAAACAATATTCACTCACTAGCATATTCCAGCACTAGCACTACGAGAGATACAGAATAGGGTGCACTCATACTTAAAGCATAAGGCTGCCCCTACAACATACAGGTCAAGGACGGTCATTACTCCAAGAATGTCCAAAGATGTAGCGGTGGTGGGGTATCATACGTGTTTTGACGAATGTTTGTGCTATGACGAATGTTCAAAATGCCATAAACACTAAACTGAGTGAGTGAGTTAATATTTAACGTCACATCGGCAATATTTCAGCCATATCGTGACGAGAACAATTAATTTTATGCATAATAAGCAATGGTAAACTATAAAACCCTGTCAACGAAGGACAGTAAAATAACTAGATCATCACAGATTCGAATTTAAAACTAGCAATCAAATCTAAAACAGTCTAACTATAGGACAATACAAGGTAAAAACAGGCTATATATTGCCAACAACTGAAGGTAGATCACCATACTAAACACTAAACTGAACCAGGTGAGTTTGAGCCTGAATTATCTCGACCAGTTGTACAGAAGATGACCATAGATGTTATTAGATGATTGGCCAAAGACTCCAAGTGGCCATGCCGTCATTTACTATGAACAAATCATTCAACCAAACTCACCAATATAGCCCGAATCCGCCTCTGTTTTTGGGACAATCCCGGACTCGACGAGGCATACACCAAATCAACCATCCAATGTTAATTTGGTTCATTCAATCCATTCTTCATTGAGAGTGGTCAGTGACTGTTGGCGTTAACATACGAGGATATTCTAGACTACCGAGTGCTGTACATGGTAAGGTAATTGTGTTCTCGTCGTGGATGTACTCTTGCATTGTCATATTGCCTATCACACTGTCTATAGTAGACGGATGGATTTTAAAACTGTGTTGATGATCAAGTGTTCCCAGATGTGCAGACTGCAACTACTCCAGGGAGTCCTTGTTAAGATGAAGACAATGCCTGTAAAATCAGTCATGACGATATGGTGAAATCTGTAAGCCAGCCTTTTCTGAACACTGACGTGAGATAGAAGTGGAATACTCTCGACAACAGTTAATAAACACTCGGTGATTCGTCATTACAAGACACCAGGTCAGTTCCCCATAGGTGGGTCTTCAAACACTCAACAGAAATGCCATACAGTTCTCGCCAAGATAACATACATCACAAATGCCTGATAAGGTAGTAAGTGAATATGGTTTTACGTCGTTTATACCAATATTCCAGCGATAATACGATAGGGGACACAAGAAATGAGCTCCACACATTATACCTATGTGGGGAACCGAACCCAGGTCTCCAGCGTGACGAGCGGACGCTTTAAACTTTGCTAAAGATTGCTTGGGAGCAAAATGAATGTAATATAGTCTTTTGCATCCTTCATACCTGACAAAACTGCCCAGCAATATACATAAAGAATATTGTACTCCTTGTCTTGTCAAATATGGGTCGTTGGTATGGCGCTTTTAATGAGTGAGTGAAAACGGTTTTACGCCGCTTTTAGCAATATTCCAGCAATATAACTTCAATATCACCAGTCAAAACAGTCATTATGGGTGAAAGATGGGGAATGAACATGATTTTACAACGTTACAGCAATATTTCATGTTTATCGTCAATAATGACAATCATCTAATCAGTATTTATTGATACTCATTGAAGGAACATGGATGCACCTAGAGACCAAGCATGGTTCTCGGTAAGGCGATGCACATGACATGTTCAGATTTCACGGAGCATTTGTTGATTACGTGTATGTTCTCTCAAAGTGCGTTCTTGTTGCATTCAACACGTTAAAGTCGCAATATCAAATTAGTTCTTTTTGGATTAAGTTATATTTGTATTGGTACATAGTTCAGCGAGATATTGAATTCAAATAGAATTTTTTGTAAATCTAGTTTTATGTCAACAAATTATGTTGTTTCTCTGAGCCACAGAGACAGGTACGCACGTGTGTATGTATGTGTGTGTGCATGCGTGCGTGCGGGTTATAGAGAGTCTAAATTTTAAAAAGAATAGACAGCCATGTTATCGTGCCCTGGCTAAAGGCTTCTCATTATACCTTTTATATTGAAATTCTATAGCTAATCAGTGTGAGCAGAGAAGAGGGTATAGTATATCATTTCTAGACTTTTGTTTCGGTAGGACGATCAAAATCACTGTTTTGAACTTTGGAACATCTTCGTATATTGTAAACAGTAAATTAACGGTAAATTTGTCCCGGTTAATTGATGACTAAAGACGTGTTAAACATCACACAAAACATAAACACACACACCAGTTTGAAGTAATACGACATTTTCTTAACGTACAAATCGCATTATACAATAAATATAATGTATAGAAAGAAAGTAATTATTACACAGATAAATGCAATTTACAATCCGTAATGTTGTTTAAATGTTTATTCATGTCGGTGATATTACAAGGAAAATATCAGGCCAGGTATGGCGTGAACTTATTCCATCAGTGGTTGCTGTCTTTTTCCGGACACACCCTCGTAACCGTGTTGTCCAGGGCCCCGTTCCTCAAAGCGATCGTAACCCTAAGGTGATCGTAACTCCCATACTTTAACATGGACTTACGACAGTCGTAGCACTACGGTCGCTTTGAGGAACGAGGCCCAAGTCGGTCCACACGCTGTGTGTAGGTCGTGCAAGGCTTCAGAGGTACAGACTTGGGAAACCATTCGTCACCACTCTCCCCTTTCCGTAACCTCCAAGAAGACTCGTCCCCGTCTCGATGCTTTTACGTGCTAAAGTACGACAAACCAATCAAAACGCGCGTAATGGTTGCGGTGCTTTCATAAAAATAATCCTGAGTTTTTAAATCGTTTATGGAATTATGTCACTCATGAGTGAGTGAGTGAGTTAAATTTTTCGATCGCGTCGGCAATATTACAGCCATGTAGCGATGAAAACTAGGTAAGCATTTTAAAATATCTGTCGACAAAGGACAGTAGAATAACTGGGTATATCACATTTGTGAAATAAAACCAACCTGACCATAATTAAAATAAGAAGAAATAGATTCAATAATTCATTCTTACAAATTAAAACCAGGCTATAAACCACTAACAACCAAAGTTTGACCACCTTACTGGGGATCAAGAGAAGATCATGAAAAATATATATCGTCTTATTGAAAGAACGAAGAACGTAGCTAACGGAATTATATCAGTAAAAAAAAGAGAGCAAAACAATGTATGAGTGCTTCGGCGATAATAAGTACCATTGGAATCAAACAGGAATAGAGTTATCGTTCTTGTTTAAAGTAGTTCTGATGTTCATGCGCCAATATGAAATCCTTTCAGAGGGCACGAGTCGCTATTCGGCTTGTCCCGGAATAGCACGAATTGATCACGAATGTTGGGAAACATAACATCAGTTGTCTCCCCATAGCCGCGATGCGTCACTCTGGTGTTCCGTAACGGTACAGCAACAACTGTGTTATTTTGGCCATACACCCAAATACTCAGTGGGGAAGTCTGAGTCGAAATATTCACCGTAGAGTTGACAGATCGTCAACTTTATAGTGTTTCATGTATTGTGAACAATCAATAGCAGTAACATTCCCGCTGAAGTTCATAAGTCCATTGAACCTCAAAGAGATGGAGATTACTCCTTCATTTAACACCAAAAGGCGCCGACCTCGTGCCCGTTCGTGATCATCCGCTGATCCACCATGTGTTCTAATCACACAGTACTGTGTAATGTTGGGGTGATCTTCAGCTTTTGATTCAGCATTACAAACGAGCAGCATTTAGTTAACAGTAAACATTCGTCAAAAGAACGTTACAATTACAGTTACCACACAGCAGCCTATGTCGTTGCTATCTGTTCTAACCAGGGGAAATGTTCTTGGTAGGCGTTCGATATTAGCGAGTCAGTGTTTCCTCCACAGACCTGTTCTTCCCCAATTTCCCCTTCAGGCAGCTGCAGTACTGGTTAAATTACATATTTCTTTACACTATGCTCATTGTATATACCACCATCCCATTCTCTTCGACAGTCTGCTCTTCACTTTATGACAAGCTCCTAAAGCCATGTGCCGCTATGATACCAATATAAAGGATAGATTATGTCGGATTGATCATTAGTAACAATTTACACATTTGTAATGATGATTTTCTCGTACGGATCTACAT